ATATACATATATATACATATATATATATATACATATATATATATATACATATATACATATATATATACATGAGTATAATAGAAAATCATCCAATTCATTCTCACTTATTCCATTACCACTATTAGATACAAAAAAGGGGGACAGCCATGGCAACCAAGTTTGCACTTAGCTGTGCTTGGTAATTCAGAATACGATCTCTTGGGCCCACACACCAAATACTCTTCCAAAGTCATTTCTTATACATGGTTCATATATGATCTCTCGAATAGATGTGAGGGTAAGCCAAACCCGACCCTGATTTTGTGCACCACCTCAATAATAATGAAGGCACCCTGATTTTTACGGATGATCTGGCTATTGCCTCTAGAAATTTTTTTTTAATAAAAGATCCAAATAGCCACATGTTACATTGATTTTAAAAGTGGTCATCTTAAGAGCTGGAAGAAAAACACTGCATACAGGAAATTCAAGGAAAAACATTATCCAAGTCCATAATCCACTGCTCCATGATGAAGGCCATGATCCAAGATCTTTTGCATATGTATTTGCTCTGATTTTTTTTAATGAATTCTTTGTATGTATTTATGGAAACAAAATTCTATTACCATTTATAATGTTCCTTCGAGTTTAAAATGACTCCTAGCATTTTAGTTTGGCTGAAGTGACAATACAACAATTTTATCACTTCTATCCATACAAAACATTTTAAAACCTTTTAATAAAAATAGATGTTTATACTTACTTTTCACATACAATTTTACAATATTCATCTGTTATAATATCTGCACAACAATTTTTTAACTGATGAAGTGACGGATAGTAAAAAAATGCGGTGTAAAGGTGCCCATACACCTTACGACCATCGCGGGACTTTTGTCTTGCGATGGTCGTATGCTTCTTGAAAGCCCATACGATCTGCCCACCTTGGACGGGCAGATCGTACTTGCGATCATCGAAAGCCGCCCTGCTGAGGGGCGGGCTTCCGATGACGGCAATGCAGAACTGGTAGTGTGCGCGTGCGCACACCGGCCCGTTCCGCAGCTATCGGGCGAGCAGGCTAGAAACCAGCCGAGAATCGTACGATTCTCGGCGGGTTTTCGAACATGTTGGCTCGACAAAAGACGTGCGACCGTACAGTAGAAACAGTCGCACGTCTTAGCTCACACTGCTCGATTCTCGTACGATCGCGGGATTTCGCCCGATTCTCGTACGAGAATCGAGCAGTGTATGGGCACCTTAAGAATACAATTTGATATCTTAAGAAAATCCCTATAGGTGTTGGATTTGCTTTCGCTATTAATCAGCACCATAATAAATACACCAGCTAGCGTTTGGCACCTCTGCCGTACAAGCAATCAATGAGATTTTTTCATAATCATTACCTAGTTGACCGGAGGCATGTTCTCTCACTCAGTAAAAAAGCTGCTGGAACCAGCAAAACAGGAGCCTGAGCAAAAATGTGCTGTAGGGAAACATGCGCCTATAAACACTACTTTTAGCAAAAAGCCAGGAGTCAGTGTTGTATTGCATTGCAATTACATCAAATGGGTACAATAGAACAAGGAGGCACTCACAGGGCTACAAAAGTCATATAGGTTTACTACGACCAACACTTTTACAGGGTGCAGCCTACCTTATATAGAAGCACAGTTTTAATACATTAAGTCATATTTATAACATTACTTACATTCAACTGATCACAAACATTCACATGAGTAGAAAAATACTTTACATCAATTTAATTATATAAATATTCATTTAATTTAATTGTTATAATGTATATACATAGAATATGTACTCACCTTTTACATATTTATGAAGGAATATCTAGTGATTTAATGAACTACTTTAACCAGTTGCCGTCCGCCCGTTGTAAAAAAACAGACGGACGGACGGCACTGCTGCATTGGTGGGTTGCCGTCTCCAGACGGCATTTTTTTTCTGTGGGCGGGCACGTGCAGAAATGACCCGTGCAATGCAAACACCCGTTACCGGGTGTTTCACATATAGACGATCGGCGGCTCTATAGCCTGTCGATCGTCTATATGTGCTCGTTTTTTCGGCCCCCTATATAATAGCAATAACAATAAGTGCAAAAAAATATATATAAATAAAAAAAATAAAAGGCACATATAAAAAAAGTAAAAAAAAACCAACAAAATGTTTAACTCTCCCACCCCCACGTTTACGCACATATAAACGTAAATATGCGTCCGGTGCACCAGCGCGCAAAAACGACAATTGTGCTACACACGTTACATATTTTGCCGCGAACGACGCAGTGAGAGCAATCATTTTAGGGCCATCAATCACTGATAACACTAAACTGATGAGCGGTAAAAGCTTTTAAACCGTCGCCTGTGGCCAATTTTGGGTATTATCGTTTTTTTGAGGTTTCGTGCGCGCGCACGCAATTTTAAGGCTTGACATGTTTGGTGTCTTTTTACCCGACGTGACCCCGTCTTTTATATTATACCAAAAAATTGGGTAATAATGAATGTTTTATCATTTAATATAGGGGAAACATTTTTTTTGTAAAATTTCAGTAATTTTTCCTTAATATAGTAAAAAATAAGAACCCCATTGGTGAATAAATACCACCAAAAGAAAGCTCTATCTGTCCCCAAAAAATGGTATAAAATTCATTTCAGTACAGCGTTGCATGACGGAATAAATGTCATTCAAAGTACCGCAGCGCTGAATACTGGAAAATGGCCTGTATGGGAAGGGGGTTTAACACCGCGGATGTCAACTGGTTAATGTAATGCAATTGCAGTATTAACAGTGAACATCAAAATATTTTTTCTCATTGCATTAATTTTCTTCATGTTATTAAGTTTATGAAGGAGACCTTGTCACATTATAGCATTTTGTATTCTAAGCACATAAATGTAACAGGGACACACATACCTTTCCTGCTGCCCATGCCGCTTAACTCTGTCCATTGCAGAGAACCAGTCCCCTAAAGTCTGCTGGGAAACCAACAGGAAGTGTCAATCTCTGTGGTCCCCCACAGCTCCTACTGAGGGATGCAACTGTGATGTGAAGTCATAAGCAGGAACCAGTGAGAGCTGCGAGGGACCACAGAGATCACTCACACTCCAGCTCAAGTTCAGTCAATATTTTATTGACCTCTGTGGTGTCAGACTCTTCAGAATCTTTGTTTGCGTGATGAAGGGACCAAAAGGGTTCCGAAACGTCGCCATGTTGTGACACCACAGAGGTCAATAAAATATTAACTGAACTTGAGCTGGAGTGTGAGTGACTTCTTCATACTTGTACTACTTTGTGGAGGCATCCATAGTCGCTTGGCACCCACCCGATACTTGTGTGTAATATCTGGTCAGGTGTGCCATGGGTTTCTTTTGATTATTGGATCACAGAGATAGACACGCCTATAAACTTGTTTTCCCAGCAGACTCCGAGGGGACTAGTTTTGTGCAATGAGGCAGTGATGAGCGAATTGGGTGGCATGGAAGGCAATTAGGTCCTCTCTTTTTTTACAGCTATGGTATGCGCTTGAACTAAAAACATTTTATGTGACAGGGTCTCTTTAAACACAGTGTGCTAATGCTGTTAGAAAAAATACAAGTATAACTACAAAACTAACATGCATACACTACCTTAAACCTTTTGTTTAGTTGATCTTTCCATTTTTCTACTAAACAACCATCAAGAAGCATCATCCTAGGAACAAAAACAAATTTGTATATCACATATATTAACAACATAAATATTAATAGAACTCACTAGGCTCTATTTACAAAGCTTTATAGCAAGGATAAGGCTCTCTAATCTAGCCAAGTGGCTAAAATTTTTACATTGAACTGGACTCAGCCAGAGGCGTAACTAGAACCTTCAGGGCCCCGGTGCAGGAAACCATGAAGGGCCCCCCAACCCTCTGCCACAATGGCACTGTGTGGTTAACAGGACGACTGCCGAGGTCCCCAGCAAGCACGGGGCCTCAGGCAGTCGCTTCAGTTTAAACATTTAGTGTCGGTGTTCTGTCGAGAACACCAACCTAGTATCTGCGTTTGCGCACAGACGGGATTAACGAGGATACAGGCATTTATTTACAAAGTATTCATTTGTAATGGTTAATTGTGACCGTTAAAAATATGCCGTCCATGGCAGTAAATGATGGATGGCATATTATTAACGGTCACAATTAACAATTTAACCCCTTCGTGAGGGGAGACGTACACTGTACGTCCCGCCACAAAGGGACCAATGACTCATCACGTAAAATGTACGTGACGAGTTATTTGCTGCAGTAGAGGGCTGGTAACCGCTGAGAATCAGCGGTTACCATTCATTAATGGATGCCTCAGTATAGAGGCATCCATTAATGAAAGGGTTAACCTTTTTCAGACACCTGAAACCCTAATATCGGGTGTCTGAGAGTCAAAGCAGAGCGGCTAAACATGCCGGCAAAAGCCGGCATTCTGACAGCTCGTATAGATCTAGAGATATCTCTCTCGATCGTATACTGGCTTTTTTTTTCTTTCACTTTCAGGAATAGATACATAATGTATCTATTCCTGAAAGAAGAATGTTTCAGTTTTCTGATCGTTGTTGGAACGATCAGAAAACCTTTAGTGATAGCTGAATCCTGAACTGCTGCAGGATCAGTGTCACTAACTTATTATTGGCTGTTCTGAAGTTTGAAGCAGCCTAATAATAACCAAAAATGTATTAATTTATCAAGCAGTAATAGTGAGATTAATTCACAATGACTGCTTGATATAATTAAATAAATAAAATAAAAATTTTAAAAGTTTTAAAAAATTGTGAAAAGTGAAAAAAAATAAAAATTGTGCAAAGTGTAAAGAAAAAAAAGTGTAAAAAAAATAAAAAATAAAGGACAAATAAATGAATGTATTTGTTGCATTTTTTTTTAGCTGTGCTGGTTTTGTAAAAAATACTACAAATCAAAACTGGGAAAAAAGTGTTTTTTTAAAGTTTTTTCCTCTTTTTTTATATTTTATTTGTCCTAAGTGAGGTGTTAGACACACGTATGTGTCATTTACGAACAGAAACAAGCTCAGTCATGAAGGGGTTAAACTAAATGCTTTGTAAATAAATCCCTGTTCCCTCAATAATACTGGTCTGTGCACAAGAGCAGATGCTGAGGTCAGCAGTTTTGACTACGTCGGTGTTCTCGACAGAACATCGGTATCTGCGTTTAGTAGCAATCGCTCCAAGCTCACTCCTGTGATGGACTATAATCTTTGAACAGATTAGTAAACGAAATGTGAATCAAATCCCCTTTTAGACAGTTGTCATGGTAAAAATTGCCGCTGTTGGAAGATGTAACCTTTTTCCTGTTTTGTTGACAACTAAAAATTTTGGATTTACCCTCATTATCATTCCTGGTGACATTGGTGATAAGGAGAGCTGGAGAGAGAGAATTTCTCCAATTCTCTCTGGGGAGAGAGACACCATTAAAAACCTGACAAGGGTTCTAACCCCCACCACTCTATCCAAATCCCCTAAAAAAACCTGTTGCCTCTACTAATGCTTTAAACCTTTTGCTGACACCGACGTATGGCATACGGCGAAACACAATCGCTTGCAGCTGGCCACGTCAGTATACCATACGTCGGTGGCTTTTACCCTTTTGCCCCGCCGGCACTACCACCGCCAGCATCTGTCATCTTCTCCTCCCTGCCTGGAGCCGGTCCAAGCTTCTCCTCGGATCCCTGCTGCTCTCCCCCGCTTGTATGGGCTGAGGCAGCGGGAATCCGAGCCAATGGATGGCTGTTGCTGGCAAGGGGCGGAGGATGGAGCCGACTGTCAGGATGGCCGAGCGGTATGCAGAGAGGAGCCATGGAAGGAGCGAGGAGAGACGCTGTCATCCTCTCAGTTTCAGGATGACAGCGGCTCTGTACTATCTGTGATATTTACAGATCCTCTGTGTGCACAACAAACACTGGAGTGATCAGCTAATCACTCTAGTGTTTGTAAACAACTGGGGACACATAGTACTATATGTCCCCAGTTATGAATGAACAGAAAGTGCTTTATATCACTTCCTGTTAATTCACAAGTTTCTCAATGGGGAGAAGCACTCACTACAGAGACTTCTACCCAGTCAGAAACTGGTTAACAGTAAATATTTTCTGAATGAATGGGAAGCCTCTGTACTGAGAGCTTTCAATTTATTTAGAACAGAGGCTGCAAAAAAAGAGATTGAGAATGTATTTCACCCCCACACACACATAACATACACGTGCAACAGTGTGCAGCATATTGTGGTGTACGCTTTGCCATGCGTTGTGATACTGGGCTTGGCAGCAAAAGGGTTAAAGGAGACACTGTGCGTGACTGAAACAACATTTCACTTTTGTTGTGACCTACATCCTGCATCAATAAAAAAGACAATCTTCATTGTGGCAACATATTTGTATTTGTTTCTTGGGATGCCATTTGCTAGTTGCTACAACAAGAGCTCAAACCAGTATGGTGTGCAATGAAAATAAGTATATCTTAAATACAATCTATATATTAGAGTGTGCACTGAGCAAACACAAGAAAATTTCGGCTTTTATGTTTGCCAGCCATCATCACATAAAAGGGGTTTAGTAACATAAAAATACCTACTTACTTTGAGCGCCACTGGTAACACATGATTAGCACATCCTGATTAGGGAATAACTGTGGACACTGACAGGAAGAGTTGGTAATCAGAGGAACCTGGGACCTGGCAATTGTTGTTGATGACTTCAGTGTTTCTTTAACTTCTACCACTGTAGTTACCTCGTTGCAGTTGCTTCTTGTGACACTTTTGACTTTTGCATGGATTACTCAAAAAGAAAAAATGTATAATGAAATATGACTCAAATGCGAGAGATATTAACACAGATTTTGAAAGAATAATATAGTAAACAGCTGAGTAAGAACACACAGAATCTGAAGGGCAGGAATATGATGTTAACAGTTTAGATAAAAGTATTTCTATCTAATTCTCTTATTTAAATGTTTCCAACAGGACACAGAGAATGCAGACACCATCCTCTTCTAGAAGGTAACATAACGGCATGCAAATAACGTGGGAAAAAATTACAAAATTACAATCACATTGAAATTATATTATTTCCAATAATCAGAGAATAATAGCTATTTAGATATAAATTGACAAGGTTGTGTTAAGATAATGTATTTAGGTTACAAGTTTTTTTAAAAATTTACAATAAATTGCAAAACATTGTGTAACAGGAAGAGTATATTTCCCATGGATTAACACTTTAGGATAATACAAACTGCCATCATTGGATTCAGGTGTTTTCCGTGAAATGTCCTTGCTACTAAATAATCCACGGTCAACTGTTAGTGGTATTATAACAAAGTGGAAGCAACTGGGAACAACAGCAACTCAGCCATGAAGTGGTAGGCCACGTAAAATGACACAGCAGGGTCAGCACATGCTGAAGTGCACAGTGCGCAGAAGTCGCCAACTGTCTGCAGAGTCAATAGCTACAGACCTCCAAACTTCGTGTGGCCTTCAGATTGGCACAACAACAACAGTGCGTAGAGAGCTTCATGGAATGGGTTTCCATGGCTGAGCAGTTGCATCCAAATCTTACATCACCAAGTGCAATGCAAAGCGTCGGATGCAGTGGTGTAAAGCACGCCGCCACTGGACTCTAGAGAAGTGGAGACGTGTTCTCTTGAGTGACGAATCACACTTCTCTGTCTGGCAATCCAATGGACTTGTCTGGGTTTGGCGGTTGTCAGGAGAACAGTACTTGCCCAGTGTAAAATTTGGTGGAGGGGGGATTATGGTGTGGGGTTGTTTTTCAGGGGTTGGACTTGGCTCCTTAGTTCCAGTGAAGGGAACTCTTAAGGCATCAGCATACCAAGACATTTTGGACAATTTCATACTCCCAACTTTCTTTAGAGATGGCCCCTTCCTGTTCCAACATGACTGCGCACCAGTGCACAAAGCAAGGTCCATAAAGACATGGATGAGCGAGTTTGGGGTGGAGGAACTTGACTGGCCTGCACAGAGTCCTGACCTCAACCCAATAAAACACCTTTGGGATGAATTAGAGCGGAGACTGCGAGCCAGGCTTTCTCGTCCAACATCAGTATCTGACCTCACAAATGTGCTTCTGGAAGAATGGTCAAACATTCCCACACTCCTAAACCTTGTAGGTAAGTGATTTTCTTACACTTTTCTCTAATTTGACAGGGTCTCCTTAAGCACGTTTATGTGATAAGTGAAAGCTTTCTCTATTCACTTTATAGTAGAAAGGCAAAAGGTTTGTTTTTAGTTTTGGATAGAGTGGCGAAGAGTCAGAGCCTTTGAAAGTTTCAGTAGGTTTCCTGCTTAGTCACCAGGATATGAACAGAGGGGAAATCTCCCAAATGGGAAAGACCTTTTTTTTTATAAATTGTGGCTTTGGGCAAGTGTCAAACTGGGCCCCCTTTGGCTGAATACTGCAGCTCCTCCAACACACATTTTTCTACTGGTAACTTTCCAAAAAGTTAAACAGTGTTCACCAAAAGAAGTTCAGGAGCAGAGTCTTTTTTACTGGCAAGGGGGTCATGCTGAATGATATATTACTACTGCTGTAATGGTGCAGCACCTCAAGTGCTGGGGAGATTGAGGGCAGGAGGGAGGCTTCTAAGAGCCCTTAAAGGGAATCTATGGCCAAAAACTAAAAATAAATATGTATATCTAAATTGAATTTTCATTAACTCTATCCCACTTTTTATAACTATATTGATATAGGCATTTGTAAACTTACTTATTGAAGATACCCATAGGATGTACTTCCTCAATGCACTGATGCAATTTTACTCAGCCTTGTGAATATGCACTTCCTTCTGAAGAGAACACAGTCTGAAGATGTCCCTGTTGTATCTGGATACATCCTTGTTGGTTTTAGATAGCTGCCATCCTCACTGAGGGTCACTATATGAAGAATGGATTGGATCGAATCGAATCATATGTGATCCACCAGTGGCACCAGGTTCTGTTATAAAGCACTTCCTTGTGTCACAATTCTAACTAAGCCTATCTTCTGAACTACAACTCAATGTCTGAACAATGTAACTTTATCAATCCTTGCTGAAAGCAGTGCATGATTGGGCAAGATATGTAGTCTTGAGAAATCACATCAAGCAGTGGGAAAAGAGATGCAAAGCACACTGGGGATTCAGTAAGTTATTGAAAGTGATAGTCAGATGGAAGGCATTACTCCCAATTTTTTCAATTAAGCTTTGATTGCATTATCAAAAACAACTATAGTATGTATTCCTATAACAATGCCAATGTAAAATGTTATAACAGGATAGTATATGCTGGGACTTTAGAACTCCTTTAAGATTGTGGGAGCCTTGGGTAAATGCCTAGTTTGCCCCCCTTCCCCTTTCCCCAAGCATCAGCCCTGTCAACAAGGACAAAGAAATGCCATTCACATGACTGGCAAACTGGACACTGCTCAGCAGGACCAAACTTGATTCTCAAAAAGCTTAGATTTGCTGTCTCGTCACAATGTTGGAGCTGGTGAAAAATGAATCTGTCAAATATATCTGGAAGAAGATCCTTTCATCTGATAATGAAATCACTGGCAAGTAAAGCTCTCGTGTGACACAACCCTTAGATCCAGGCACAATTCATAACTTTGTGAAAGAGCCCATTGGCACTGGTCTTGTCAAATTTGTTCACACAAACTCATTTGCTTTTATTGCAGTAATATTTTACAGCTTTCCACTTTTTCACGTAATCTCGATCTATTGAACAGGGTTCAACATATGATATGTCATAAAATGCAAAAAATCAACAAGAGTATGTACCTTCCAATATGCACAAATCAACCACTATGATAAATCTAAAATTTACAAACGAATGATTATTAAAAAAAAAGAACAAAGGGGATAAGATAAAGAAAGGAATAATAAAGCACGCTAAGGAAAAAAGATCCAGGAATCCTCAAACGTGTTTTCAACAATTCTTACAGGAAAGTAATCTGTTTCCAATAAACACTGTGGTTGTCTTGTTTGTGTTTTTGAAATACTATCCTTTAAGGAGAAATGATTTGTCTGCATTTTTTCACAGTTTGAATAGTCAATCCAACAGCTCTAAATATTTTATAGTTCATCTAATTGGTCTTTGAGAAATAAAGTTAGCTCCTCTACTCTTCCATGACTGAGACACAATTTGTCTTCCTTACTTATCGTATTTGTTACAAAAAAATATAATTCGCTTACCATAGCTGTAATTTTTTGTCAGGTACATGTTTAGAGTGGGTTTAATTGTTTTGCATTTACAACGATCTGTAAGAGTAAAAAACAAAAACAAAACTTTTCAATTTAACAAGACAAAACTACAAGCTGAGTGCTACAAATACTGTTTTCACCATATTTCACCCCCTTTTTTTAAATCTCAGGTCTGATCTCCTTCAGCCTCTTTCGCCTACTTTCTGTCTATTTACTTGCTCCAGCATACACTACACATCGATGATCTGGACGGTTTTTCTGATATGACAGCTGTGGGCCATGTCTGTGCAATGTGTGTCTGCATGGCCACTTGTATTCTCCACAAGGTGTGTCTGTGACAGGGTGACAATGAGAGTTCTTGCCCTATACCAGGAAGTACCTGAACAAGGACCTTAATGGCAGGATTACCAGGTATTATTTTAATAAAAACGATACATTTAGAAATATTAAAAACAATGTTGTGATTTAGTTCTAATTTAGAGAAGCAGTTTCAAAAACTTAAAAAAAACCTTTTAAAACAAGGTTAAAGGAGAACTATGGGGTCAGGGCTTTTCCCCATAGTTCTCCTTAGGGTAACGGGAGGACACAAACTAGCGTCCTCCCGTCACCCTAAGCTCAGTATACCGCGAGCTACAGCTCGCGGTATACTGAGACGCCGCAGCCGGAGCGGATCCCGACATCAATGTCGAGATCCACCCAGCTGCGTAAGTGACAGCTGGCTCTGCCTATCCAGAGGCAGAGCCAGCTGTACCCGCCCCCTCCCCCATCCGTTCCGCCAGTCAGCACTGGTGGATTGGAGAGGGGGGAATCCAGCCACTCCCCTGTCACGGCAGAGAGCCGTGACAGGATCGAGAAGTGAGCGAACACCGGTATGTGTTTGCTCACTTCCCGATCTACTGAGCCGACCTGTGACAGTCTCATAGTCACAGGTCGGCTAGAACTATGAGGTGAGTGAAAAGCACTCACCTCATAGTTCTCCTTTAAACTTACCTGTGTCTTCGCCGCACGCTCCCATCCAAACATCTGAAGAGTCTCAGGCAGCCGCAAAAGATCTTGAGGCGGCCGCATGCCCAGTTCAGATGTTCGGCCGGGAGACGAGGAGAGACATAAGGTAAGTCTATGGAGCAGCGTGCACCCGCACAGACTCTGTGGGACATCAGAGAAGAGGAGGACAGAGAAGTCAGCGCTGGATTGGAGACACGCACCAGTGCTGGAGGACAGCTGAAAACTACAGTGAAGAAGATAATCGAATAAAGAGGCATGATTTAAGGTCCTGACACTAACATTGGGTGGGGGAAAACAAAAATAGCCTTTAATGTCACTTTAAGGTATGTTTTAGAAAATAACACTGAATCAATCAGACTATCTAATTTTGAAGTAGACAGGTGGAAGAATTTCCTCAGTCTCCCTGACTCCAGTGATCAATGAGCTTTGTGAGACAAAATGTGTAAACTAAGCCAAGAATATAAAGGCTACCATTTTCTTTTGGGAGAAAAGGGAAGCAGAAACCTTTATCATGTTGAGTGCTGTCATTTCTTAAAGCAGAACTAAATTTAAATGATACAGAAAATGCTAGTAGGTATTGTGGCAGTGTAAGGCAATGCCACGGTTTAGTTTGGCAACTATGGCACCCAGGACTCTCAGCCAGAACGGCTGAGAGGGTCCAGAGAGTAAACCATTTTATAAGGAAGAACCTGGCCTTTCAGATTCCTCCAGGTTTTCAGAATTGTAGCTGGGATCTGGAGCTCTGGAGATTTCTTAGAGCTCTGGGTGGGAGGAAATCTCCAGTCCTGGGGCCAGGTGTTGCCAATGACCAGCCTGCGCTAATCAGGTGGCTGAGAGCAGCCTCCTTAAGAAGCCAGCCCATAGCTCAGTTGGGAGAGTTGTGTGGGTGAAGGAGGCACAGGGCCACAGCGGACTCAGGTGCGTGCTGGACACACATGGAACAGCCAGGGGAGGCTGGGAGAGGTCAGGAAGGTTGGTGACCCTAGGACCTGTTGGACACACTGCTGAGAGAGCAGAGTGAGAGCTCACGAGGGGTAAGCAGCGTGAGTTTTACACAGAGGAGTGATGAGCGTCTTAGGAGCTGTGGAAAGTTACTGAGGAAAACTAGAGACTTTCATTTATGTTGCTGCAGACAAGCTGATTATTATGAGAATGTTGGCTCTTCTTGTGTAACAGGGGAGGTCTACCCTGTTGTTGGAAAATACTTTTTGTGTTTGCCCTTAATAAAGCTGTGTTTTACCTGAATTTCCTGACTACAGTCGAGTGTCCTTGTTACAGTATATATATTTTTGTTTTGCCAAAAACCTCAAACCTCATTTTTTTTGTTGCTGTATGTACAATACATATGTTCAATCCCAGCATCTGTATGGGATGTAACTTCTGAAGATAATGTAATGTATGCACAGGTGTTACAGCACCAGTGACTGACCAATGGGTGAAGAAAAAAGATGCTGGACCTGAAAGAAAACAGGAAAGGATGGCAGCAGCGGTGACTGAGTGACCATGCATCACTGGAGGGCACACTAGGAGATAAGACTACCATTATATGGAAGTATGCTATGCATATTTGCTCATCAAGGCAACTTCCCTGGAGACATAGTGGATGTGGTTCTGCTTTATTATGAACAGGTAGTAATTATCTGAAAACATTACAGCTATGTATTACTTAGCATGTATGCACTTAACATAAAATATATCTGATGTTTGTTCCACATTAAAGACTTCTATCCAAACATATTTTCTTTCCACTTTGTTGAGGATGATGAGATAACCCTTTCTCCCTTTCAAGATCCTTGACCATAAAGTCTTTTGCATGTGTCTCGCCAATGCTGCACATGTTGCTGTTACAGTCAGTTTTAGTGTGAAACAATAACCGGCTGTACCATAGTATATTGTGAGGGGAGGAGATCATTAGAAGAACATTGTGAAGGAGCAGGTTTACATCTGACCTGAGCCACCAAATTCCTCCTAAATATGGAGAATGTATTTATTTCATGTATTTATTTGTTTTTTAGATTATGCTTTATTTAATGCAGAAAATGTTCCCTTTACAATAAATTTGATAACATTTAATCAAAATGACAAAAGCATGCCAATGCTGTGCATCATAGCATCATTGGGTCATTTAGGTTTCTCAGTATCTTGTAATTATTGGACAAACATTCAGCACAAATAAATATACAGTAAATATGGTTTTCTGAATGTTACCTATGGGACACAGAAGGTAATACAAAGTTCTGAACCCCCTCCCTAGTCTATTCAAAACAGGTTTTGCCTTTACATGCACTTCAGTCATAGTACCTCTGCAAAGACACAGATCATTAAAAGCAGTGTAAACACATCCCAAATGCAATACTTATGTAATATAATGCTGGGGATTTATGAAAACTGGAGCAGGCAAAATCTGGAGTAGTTGCCCATTGTAACTAATCAGCTTCTCTTTTCAGTTTGTTTAGTTAGGCTTAGAAAATGAAAAATCAAATCAGATTGTCTGCTCCAGTTTTGATAAACTCCCCTTGATGACTTGCCAGCCTCTGATTTTTTACCTTGAAGGGTAATCATCACTCTAATGTACAGGCACCATAATGCTGGGAAAGTCCTGTTCTGGCCACAACATAAACTATTTTCTCTACTCTACTTCTACTAAAGATGCTGCTGCTGCATCTCGGTATAACAAGACCACCAGCCCAAAGGATAACTCACTGCTTGGCCTAGACATGCAGCCCCTCACTCAATGCTCCCAAGAGTCAGATTTCTCCAAATGCCACACCTCTATACAAAGTAATTTAGGGAATTCTCTTTACTTAACATTGAAGGACTTTGAAAGATAAGGGTATTGGCATATATACAGATCAATTGGAATTAATTTTGATTCATCTGATTAGGCAACATAACTTGGTTGAAGAGGGTGCCTTCAAGGGGGACTTTCACTCTCCCCCAATACAAGTGGAACATGATGGTGGGGATCTACTGCCAGCATCCAAGAGGAGGCACAAAGTGCCCCACTCTGAGCAGGGTGGCTCTTAGCTGCATATCCTTATGGTGGCTGGTTTGCGCAAAAGCACCCCTTCTAGACATTTAATCTATTTGCTGCATCTCTTGGTGGTGACTGAAGTATTAAAAAAAATACATGAAGTTATATAGATAAAATGATATACATTTCAAATTGTAAATAAAGATTACAGTGTATTATTTCAGAGACAGCAGCCAGAAATATTGTACAGACTTGCTGTACAGTATGTAAGCACTTTATTAAGCCTGTAATTTTAGGGGGAGACACCAGGCAGGCTTATAATTAAGAAATTAAAATTAGATTGTATTATTTCACAGAAAATGTCAGACATATTGCACAAATCCAATAAAAATTTAGCTTTAGTAGGCTGCAGTTTTACCATTTCACTGCCAGAGCTGTTTTTGCAATTGTAAAATACACATGGTAGGTCAACAATTTGCTTACCGCCCACCAAAATTATATATTTTCTGAAAGCAAATATATATCAGTAAAAAATGTTTTCATAATTAATTTAGTGCACACAATGACCCAATTTTTGGTAAAATATAAATGAGGTTGAATCAAGTAAATAGATACCAAACATGTCAAGCCTCAAACTTGATCAAAACTTTAGTACCCCAAATTGTCCATAGATTACATTTTAAAAGCCTTTACATGTATTCATTTAAGAGTTAACCATGAATAATAGGCCTAGAATTACTGCTCTCACTCGCTACCCAACATGTGTGGCACAATTGTCATTTTCAAAGTGCACCAAAGGCATGTGTGTGTATATGTGTGGTTTCCCAATTTTTTCTGTTTTTTTTTTAATTGAACCTACATTTTTTTAAACTTTTTTACAATTAACTTTATTGCTATCCCATAGGGGACAAGAAGCTCCCTATGTGATAGTATATTGTGGTGGCAGGGAAAAATTGGCCCCTAGTGTCACCTATGGATGCCAATAAAGCTGATCCAGCACTGATCGAGAACTGGAAGTGACAAAATCCTTGTTGCTTCTGGGTTAATTTACTGGAGGGGAGATAAGCAAACTGATGTCCTACTTATAGTGTATTTCCACTGTCGCAGCCAAATTGTGATAATACCTATTTTATATTATGTTCCCATTCACATAGCATAAGCTAAAAAAAAATGCTTCTTGCAGTTTTAATTGCTTTTACTTGGGTTAGGGTTTGAAGGGTTAACATTTCTTCTTGCTTCTATTTCTTTTAAATTCTAGGAGGGGCTGTGTGGGGTGAGGGGTCTTGTCCATTCGCATGCGGCTTGCCCCTTGTATGTTAATGAAGCTTATCAGATATAAACAATCCTCAAATTTCAGTCCCAAAACTTTCCATTGGGACAGACCACTGTGAAAGGGCTAAGAAAAACCTGGAATCAGTCATCTTGCCTGATTTAACAAAACAGCACAGTGGCATAGTGGTTAGCACTTCTGTCTTGCAGCACCTGAGGTCTCCGGTTCACATCCCAGTCAGGATACTAGCTGCAAGGAGTTTGCATGTTCCCCCTGTGCTTGTGTTGGCTTCCTCCTGGCACTCCAGTTCTCTCCCACACTCCAAAGACTTGGTGGAAGGTTAATTGGCTCCTGTCTAAATTGGCCCTGTATGTATGTCCCCCCACAGTCTCACACTATTATTATACATTTATATAGCTCTGACATTTACCACAGTGCTGTACAGAGAACACTGGTCCAGTCACATCAGTCTCTGTACAGGAAAGCTTACACTCAAATGCCCCCCCACAGTCTCACACTATTATTATTATTATTATACATTTATATAGCTCTGACATATACCACAGTGCTGTACAGAGAACACTGAGCCAGTCACATTAGTTTCTGTACAGAGGAGCTTACACTCTAATGCAGAAAGGCACCGGCTGTAGAGGAACTACAAATATCAGCAGTACATTATAGAGCAATGCAGAACAGTATATGAACGTGGACTCAAGATTTAGTAACGAACTGGACTCAGGGCTTAGTAACCAACTGGACTCAGGACTTACTAACACACTTAACTCAAGACTTATTAACACACCGGGCTCAGGACTTAGTAACGCATTGGACTTTGGACTTAGTAACACTCTGGACTTAGTAATGGACTGGACTCTGGACTTAATAACGCACTGGACTCTGGACTTAGTAACACACTGGACTCTGGACTTAGTAACGCACCTTTCCCTGCACACGCAGCTCCTTACCTGCCGCTGCTGGCTTCCTCCGCCTTTGGCCATAGATCTTACCTCTTTAGCTATCCCATCAGGAAATGCAGTAAAGAGTTTCTTTTCACATAGTGGAGCATTCCGGGCTCCCTCTTGGATGGCGGGGGAGGATACCCTAAAATGTTCTTATTGTATTGGGGAGGGATGAAATATCCCCCTTGAAGCTGCCACAATGTTTCCTCCTACTCCCCACCACCAGCACCCTAACTCCTCACTGCCAAAACCCCAACACTTTACTAGTAGCACCCCAACCCAGCTCCTTGGCTTTCCCATCTGCTTCCTGCTTTCTCATGACATTCCACATGCTGGTGGAGGGCATGAATGGCTCTCTGTTCAAAGTAATGGTAACTGGAGTTTGGCCTTGTGGCCAAGATAATGGCAGCTGAGTACCTGACACTGTGGTGTAGCCCAAGCCACAAAAGCGTAAATGGGGTGTTAGGAAACGTTTTCAGGAAGACACTGGGTATGGGGTGATTTGGAAAAAAAAATTTCTTCCACTTCTGCAGCAGCGGAGTTGAGGTCTGTGGACCAGCCCTGGGGATAGCATCCACCAAACACGTTTTGAACTTATAGTCATTTGGTAAGATTAGTGGAGAAGAAGGAGGAAAAGGGTGCAGTAGCAGCAGTAGAAAGGCAAGTGGCTGTTATTTGCCTTTGAAGGTGGAGGAAAAGGGAGCATTAGCAGGCCCAAAATAAATGGCTTATTTTTTATTAGCTATTTTTTGCAAGCTTTCATCACTACGTATGTTTTTCTTGGAATAGTTATTTCCCCACAACTAGCAAGCAGAACTAAACTTTTAATCATGTTTCAATCTGATTGGTGGTTAAAGTAAATTATCTTCAGTTCCTAGAAAAACCATGTTCGTAAATCAGGCCATTAGCTCTCCCTCATACCTGAATTCCAATTTCCAAACATAATGTATTATTTGCCATCTCTGCAGAACACATTTGAAAGTGAAACAAGGATTCTGCTTAATGCTATAAGCAACACAAATGTTCCCACAGCAAATGTGTCATACAGTTTAAAACTTGCCTATAATAAAGTATCTCCCATATTAATGTTGCTTATATACAGTGGTCTCAACAGCTTTTTCCATTAAATCAGAGTTCTTCTTTAAAGCAACTATTAATTACGTTTCTGCAAGGCAAGGTGAATGGTACATGATAAAATATATAAACTGGTTTGTGTTAGGCATATCTGACAGGTCCGCATGTGGTGCAAATTACAATAACTAGTATTGTTTAAGTTATCACAAGAAAATACAGACTTTACCCATATTTAAACTTTTGCAGTGATTCATTCTTGGTCTTTCTGGGACTATGACATCTTGTGTAAACTCCATCCACTTTATATCTAAAAAGAACAAGACATCAGTTGCCAATGAAAATAATTGCACTATGCCAAACACACCAGGAGTAATTTGAGTCTTTAAATACACCTCTTGAACTGGACAAGACGATTTCTCCACATCTGCAGTATAAATACTTTTAGAAGTCTAAAATAAATCTTTCATAGGAACTTGTGTTTTTGATGGCAGTATTACATTATTGTTTTAATAACACTTTTATTTTAATAAAGTTGCATAACTATATAAATGAACCCATTACATGGTGTGTTCTTAGTTGGTCTATGGGCTGTCCAATCTAAACAAAAAAAGTCATGGCCCAAGCCATTTCCTTTTTAGCTGGTCCAGTTATTTAAACAGGTGCTAAAGTCATTTCCTCTCATTATCACACACTTGCAACTCTACAAAAGTGGATGTTCCATAATTTGCAGCAGTGAACTTCTAAGGCTAAAAACATCCCATCCTTTTGTAAAGAAAGAGTTGCTCTATTAAAGGGCTAATTACTAAATGGTGAAACATTTACACAAGAAACAAATATTTCCTTTAGCGATGCAATTTATTTTCTAAAGCTGGAGAAGAAGTGGGTCTGTTGTCTGTAGCAACAATTAAGGACTCTTCTCATAAATGAAACAAACTGTTTACTGTGGTCAACAGTTCTGCTTTTGTTCCAGTTTCCAAAATCAGTCCCTTGTGAGAATAAAGTCCAACTTCACCTTTCTGGTAGATGTACAGAATACTATAAAGCAGGACAGCAAGTTATTTATCTAAAAATATCATTTATTGCATATGTTAGCCTTTAGAGTAGGGATGCACCGATACCTTTTTCCAGACCGAGTACAAGCACCGATACTTTTCCTCAAGCACTCGCCTTTTTCTTAGTGTCATGTGACAGTTTTTCAAAAACAATACAAACATTTTCTTCAGTATTCACAAATCAGCCAATAACAAGGGGATTTTGCCAGCTGGTGACACAATACGGCACCTGTCTAGTGAATATGAGGCTCTGTCTTGTTTAACAAAGTGTTTGTGTCATGTTTTAATTTTTTTGACACCTGCAGTGTCCTTCATTAAGTGACAATCATGCAGTGACATTGGCCTGGCTCCCCCATATTTTACCTTCCTCAAGAGGGCTGCATGGTGCTGCTGTCAGGTAGCAGCTTCCCTCTTTCTCCCCTGGCAGGTCCTGGAGCTTTGTGCCATAGTCTTAGGGGCTTTGTGCTGGAGTCTGAGGAGGGGTTGCTGGAGTGTGAGGAAAGGTGCCGGAGTCTGAGCAGGGATGTCAGGATGTAAGGAGAGGTGCCGGAGTCTAAGGAGGAGTTCCAGGATGTAAAAAGAGGTGCCAGAGTCTGACCAGGGATGTCAGGATGTGAGGAGAGGTGTCGGAGTCTGAGGTGGGGTGTCGGTATGTGAGGAGAGGTGCTGGAGTCTGAGCAGGAATGTCAGCATGTAAGGAGAGGTGCTGGAGTCTGAGGAGGAATGTCGAGATGGGAGGAGAGGTGCCGGAGTCTAAGGAGGGGTTCCAGGATGTAAGGAGAGGTGCCGGAGTCTGAGCAGGGATGTCAGGATGTGAGGAGGGGTGTTGGGATGTGAGGAGAGGTGCAGGAGTCTGAGCAAGAATGTCAGGATGTAAAGAGAGGTGCCAGAGTCTGAGCAGGGATGTCAGGATGTGAGGAGGGGTGTTGGGATGTGAGGAGAGGTGCAGGAGTCTGAGCAAGAATGTCAGGATGTAAAGAGAGGTGCCAGAGTCTGAGCAGGGATGTGAGGAGAGGTGTCAGAGTCTGAGGAGGGATGTCGGGATGTGAGAAGAGGTGCTGGAGTCTAAGGAGGGGTTCCAGGATGTAAGGAGAGGTGCCAGGGTCTGAGAAGGGGTGTCGGGATGTGAGGAGAGGTGCTGGAGTCTGAGCAGGAATGTTAGCATGTGAGGAGAGGTTCCAGAGTCTGAGCAGGGGTGCTGGGATATGAGGAGAGGTGCCGAAGTCTAACCAGGGGTGCCGCGAGGAGAAAGACACCTGCAGGAGGTCAACAGCAGGCTGCCTGAGGTCCCCAGCAAGCGCAGCCACTCATGTTTACATATTTAAAATGTCGTTATTGGCGCTGAGCATCAGGACATTTTCACGAGTACAAGCACTCGGGAAAATGTCCAGTGTCGATACAGATCGGTATCGGTGCATCCCTACTTTAAAAACCATTAAGCTGCTGAGCTAGAATAGTAAATGTAGACTTTTTTTTAACAATTAGAAATGTTGCTGTAGAATGTTGTGTAGGTTATTGCAGATGATCCTTATTACTTTGTAGTAATAACAAGTAAGGTGTAAATAATTGTCATTAATCACAAGGTCTGTACTAGGATAATGAAAAAAAAATAGGTAATACACACTAATTACAAGTCTTTCATTTCACAGTCAGAAAATAATTGTTTGTAACCAGAGTTTTTTGAACTCCAAATGCTCAGACTAACTGTAGTCAGTATTCGGCAGTAATGTGAGTATAAGTTGACAGCTAATTTGTCAGTTTGGCAATAGGTCTATGAACTAGCAACACACCCAGGTGCACAGTCCTAGTTCTATGCTGTAAGTTTAATTAATGCTCTCATGGCATGGGGCATTTGCATGATGTCTAAAAGGTGTAATGTGGTCATAATCCGGTTAAAAAAAAAACCTGCCATAAAAGAACTATAGAGGCTGCCATTGCTCCATTTGGATCTTTCATGCATAATTGTTCTGGATTTGTGACTTAGAGTATTGTGATACTGCATCAGAATGACTGCCGGGCACGTAGCATTTTCATAGGAATGTCAGTAATGGTAACCTATGTATTTCTCTTATGACGGGTTTCCTATAAAGAGAATTATGGGTCTAGGTAAAAAAGAGAGGACTTGACAGTACTCACCTGCATAACGTAATTCTTATTTGCTATTCCCACTCCAGTCTATTTCTGGGATTTGTGACTAGTTCCAGCTTGTTTCTAACACTAATTGTCTCTGCCCTAAATAAGCATCCGGGAAGATCTCAAGGAGCTCCTCACCTACTCTAACTCCCCAAATCTCTAATTGTTAACAAAAGTGAAGAACATAGTTAACAAAATAGAATAAAACCAAAATAACTTAATTTAAAGTGTTTGAAGAACTACCTAAAATATCACCCCAACCAGATGACAGTCTGCATAGGGACTTCATTCAATTGTAGTTAAAAAACAGAGATGCCATCTGCATCATCCAATCAGATTCCAGAAGTTAGCAAATTAAACCCAGCTCCTGTCTGTGTCCCCTGGACAACTGCCTTTTCTCTCAACATTTGCTATATTAGTTTTAATTAGTCTTATAATATTTACTATTAAAATGTCTATAATCTGCAAGCATCTTATAGGTCCCCAATCTTATTTATTGGAATTTTTACCTTCAGGGATGTCTGTAACAATGGCTTCAGGTGAAATGCACACCCCTCGGTCATACACTGGCAGATCGTCACACGCTAGGTTCTCTGGCCAGCTGTGGTTGTACCTCTTCATGATAGGCTCGCAGCCATCCTTGGCTCTTTGGCATACAGACTTGCAAGGCTTGATTGGATCATGAAGGAATTCCAGGGTGCAGATAGGTGCATACATAGCACACAGGAAGAAATTGAGTTCAGGGCTGCAGTTGATCTCCACTAGCTCCTGGTATTGTTCAATGGCCAATATGGCATTCTCCTGAGTGCTGTGGTGCAGGTGGTTGGGCATTCTAGTAATATTCCAAGGCATGTCTTTACACATGGGGATCCTGACAGTTTCACAGGGGGCAGAATGCACTCGCCTTGCCATCACCAGGGCACAAAGCACAGCTGTAACCAGCAGCATGGTTGCAATCAGTCTTCAACTGCTCTGAAACCACTGGCTGAAGGCACTTTTTCTGGTTTCCACTCTTAGATGTAGGACTATGAAAGTGAGTAACTCACAGGCAACTTGATGAGAACATATAAGAGCAATGCCAGAAAGTTCCTTGTGCTAAACTCTCAGTAACAGATTACAGGCTGAGAACTTTCTCTCCTCCAGCTTCCCAAACTCCAGTGCAGATAAGGGTGGACATTGTTCAACTACCTTTATAGCAGGACCACAAGTGACGTGCATCACTTCTATTTTAGAGATGGCTGCATAATTCACTTTTTTTTTCTCTCCTTGGCAGACACAGTTACATCATCCCTATTCCTTTAATCCCAGGGCGACATCACTCAATTTCAGTTCAATTTCCAATTAAAGTCTCCTCCTCCCAAGGTTATTTTCTCTTGAACTGCAGTGGAAAAAAAAAAGCCACTTCCACTTCTCCCAACTTTTCAGGTCTTATTAGAGCAAAGCAAAGCTTAGAAAAATAAAAAGATCCTATAATAGCAGAGGGTTTAACTTTCAAGAGTATCTGCTCTCCCCTCCCTTCTGCTCGTTTTACAGGAGGGCGAATGAAGTGCATGTCAACTGGCTGCAGTTTTCTAATTCACCACCAGAGGGCCGTACTGCTGCGGTATACAGAGCCATTCGTCTATATGAAATGTACAGCATAGAGAAAAACAGATAGATAGGCAGATACCTAATCACTGAAAATTGTAAGGTTTCCCTCAGCTAGTCATTTTTTTAAGGGTGTTTAAACACATGAATTGACTAAAAAATACACGTTTATGCATATTTGTTCTTACATACACCTTTGGTTAATTTTCTAGAAATGGACTTTACCCTTTGATAAATGACTCCCTTTGTGCATGGCTGTGTGTTGTACATTTTGTAAGTCAAAATATATTGCAAAATATTTATAAAAATAGATACCAACAATAATAATTGAAGTTCTATTTAGGAGTAACCATATCCTGCATTGGTTAGTGCATTATTTCCCAAACTTCAGAGGGCTCTGTATTCTAAACCTCAAAGTAAAAATGCAATTTTCTTTTGCTCAGGCATTTTTATTTTGCAAATACAGAAACATTCCTGATGAACTTGTCAGTATTCCAGTGCCCTTGTAACTACCTGTGGATTGAATTGATATCTGCCAATCTCTCCCTAACTTCCAATCGCCCAGAAGATACAATTCTAAATATTAACAACCACTTACAAAAGCCAACAACAACTCTGCCCCCGGCTATATCTCAAACCTTGTCTGAGGCCCCATTCACACTGCGCGGTTCGCAAATCGCACGTTTGTCGCCGTGATTTGCATTTTGCGTGATATCCGCGGTTTGTCGCGTGATATCGCGCAAATGCTTGCATTGAAAAGCATTGAATTGCGCCAAAATCCGCTCCAAAAAAGGTCCTGCTGTAGCTACGCACGACCCGCGACAGCAGGACCCTTTGCCCCATTGCCAAGCATTGGAAAGCGATATCGTGCGGTAAATAGGGAATTACTGCGCGATAAATCGCTCAGTGTGAACGGGGCCTAAAAGTAACTGTCCCCTCCGCTATTCCAAAGACCTCCTGCTTTCCAGCTCCCTCGTCAACTCCTCCCATGCTCGCCTCCAAGTCTTCTCTAGAACTCTTTACCCCAACCTGTCCATCTATCTCCCTCTCTGACTGCCTTTAGACGATCCCTAAAGACTCATTTCTTCAGGGAAGCCTATTCCATCGCAAACTAACCACTGAACCATCACGTTCTCAAACAATTCATCCCCATACAGCTACCTCCTCATGCATCACTTGCCCCTCCCTTTTAGATTGTAAGCCCTCCTCACCTTCCTGTCTTGAATTGCATTGTGATTGGATTTGTCCTTCTTATATTGTAAAGCGCTGCGCAAACTGTTGGCGCCATATAAATCCTGTATAATAATAATCTCAAACAATGTTATCAGCTTTCCTCACTATCATAGGTAAACTACAAAACACCTCCTTCATATATAATGGCAATGAGGAGAAGATGTTTGTAGTCCAAATTAGGAGAGCGGCTTAGGATGACAATACTGCTCCTCCGTGGATACAGTGCAGTAAGTAAGCATTGTTATTCTAGGACAAAACGCACGTAGAGCCTCATTTCAATGACTTGTGTAAGCCTCAGAGTCCACCTGGATCTACTGCATTGTTTCCAGTGATGGAGGACCCAAGACCCCAGCACCATCACTTTAGCTCCTCACTGCATGACCTTCAGGAAACACTCACTCACAGGAGGCCCCTCAGCTTCCAGTGGTTCCAGGCCTAGTCTTTTGGGGTCCTGCCAAACACTCAAAGCCGAAAGTCACCTGGGTCTCATGTTACAGGGCGCATGGTCTCATCTCACCACTGCCTAGTCAGCGGATCCACCTTCACAAAGCAAACAACTGTTTCGGGATACGTATGGGAGCATTTAGGCGAGTACGAGTATTCACCCAAATACTTGGTATTGGCACCGATACTAGTATTGGTATCGGTGCATCCCTAAATAAAACACTATTATTTTAGCTTCCTAGACTAAATACGAACTTAACCCTTGCAGTGCGTGGGTTGCCCAACTGAAAGTGTTAAGATTTTATTTGCCCAGAGTTCTTCTTTAAAAGAAGACAACAAATGAAGCCACCACACCTAAGGACTGGTAAGCTGCAATATAAAACATTTTTGTTCTTAGGTTTAGATATTTTTAAGGTATATCTAAAGAGAGACATTTTTTGGATAGAGCAAGGGATGGTTGTAATTTCCCCAAAGTAAAGGGAAAACCCCTCTTAGGGCCCATTCACAGAACTGCACTGTGGGGACTGAACTGTCATTATGCATGTTTTTGTGATGCAGTGACATTCATTGCCTGTGAAGGAGCATTGCCATGGAAATGTCGGATGCCATGTAACAACTTTCAATGTCGTTTATCCTTTGTGGCAGTTCATAACTGCTGCATTAAAGTTGCATGTCTATTATGTGTCTCTGCCTGCTTATACTGCATAAAATCTAATAGCAAAATTACCTGTGAGTCCCAAAAAATTGTTTCCATGATCTTCCCCGCTAATGATGGTAAGTGAAATTTTTCGGATGGTGGTCAACCTTGAAGTTTGAGTTTCCATTGCATAGACTCCCATTTAGTTTCAGGATTCTGGTGATGGATCCACTGGTATGTAGTTATAAATCAAGAATAAATCCAGATATAGAAGCTTATGGATCAGGGCTGTCTCCAACCTAGGGGGTGACTGAACTGAAGAGGGGGCTTCTCTTGCACCTCTCATCCGACACCCATGGAAGTGGTGACAGGGAGTGTGAGGACACAGAGTGGCATAAGTGCTGGTGCTGCAGGCTGGATTGTATCTGCATAGAGGCTCGAGTGCATGGACCAGAAGACTGTAGGCTGCAGGACCAGAACCAAACACCAGAATACTGGGGTACCAGAGTGGGTAACAGAAGTGTAATTGGGGTCTTAAGCCGAGGTCAGTAACAGCTGCAGAGTCCCAAATAAGGAACCAGGAGTAGAGACTAAGTAACAAGCCAAGGTTGGTAACAGCCAAGCAGCAGTGTACCAAATCAGGAACCAGGAGCAGAGTCGAGGTCACCAGCCAAGGGCGATATGGGTAGAGAGGAACAGGGAAGGAGGCAGAATCCAGTAAGCAAGCTGAGGTCAAAATGGGCAGGCAGAAATAAAGAGAGAAGTCAGTAGGCAGGCCGGGCACACACACAGGATAATGAATCAAGTCACAGGTAGTCAGGATCTACTGAAGACCTTTCAGCAAGCTCTCCATGGCCATTTGGCACCAAGCTAATGCAGCACAGATTAAAATTTAAGGTGTATTCTGCTCCATATGTCTTGCTTTACCATAGGTACATATTGAAAATGTGCACCAAGCATATATTCAATATCGTATATGTACATATTGCATTGCAAGCTCCCAAAATATCAAGTCCCTTTGAAAAAAAAAAATGGAAAGATAGCTTGTTTTAATCTCTAATTCCCATTCTCATAGTTTGCTCTCTGGATGTTTATTATGCCAGATACAACACAGAATGGCTGTAGATCCTAAAATCATCTCTGAATTTATGCTGACACTCTCCTTCCTTCTGGAGAGTGGCTACTTTTATTCCCCATGGTCCCTGTGTGTATTTTAAGATGATTTAAGAATCTAAAGCCGAGTAATACACAAATAAGCTACATTTTTGTTAATAGTTTGGGGTCTTCAATACATTAAGATTTAACTCCTGAGTTTAGTGACACTTTAAAGTAAACCCATGCTTTGCCCATTTATTCCCAGTATAACGTTATCTTTCCTCCAATCCCCCGCAGCTCCATGCAGCACCGGAAATATCTGGTACTACTGGGTACGGAGGAGCATGTGACCCAGTCTATGGCACTCATAGCTTGCACAGGACTTTCCTTCACTCCAGACAGCTGACTATATTGGCAGAACAGGTTCACTTTAAATGGGGCTCTGTGTCTGTTCCGCAATGTATTCTGTCTTACGAAGCCCACTGTATTTCCACAGTGTCCCAGCAAATGTGTGCCTGGGTATGTGTGTTTAGGGTTTTAAAAAATTGTTCTATAATTATTGACAGTAATCGTGTATAAAGTTTACAATGCATGCTCTATGCTCTTCTAGCTTGTGATCTGAGTGCATTACATCACCGCATTCACTGACTGCTCCTCCCTTTGCAGATAGCTCAGAAGAGAGAAGGGAGGGGGAAGAGTAAACACTGCTGACTGAAAGAGCAGATGATGGAGATAGGACAAGTGCAAGGCTTATGCAGTTTCATATTCCTAGGCCTTTTACTAATCACTGTGACTATCCCCGGAAATGCTAGATTTATCTCGGCATCGGATCCAGTGACCCCATGCGAAGCCCCTTTGCAATGGGAAGGCAGAATAGTAATGTACGATCACAACACTGGTAAAAACACTAGGGCAAATGTCACTTATGATGCCAAACAACAGAGAATTCGGATTCTGGAAGACAGGAAAAGCCTGGTACCCTGCAAGAGGTAGGTTTTATTAGAAATATAGATGACAGTAGAGAATAGTCATATGACAACAAATGTTTAGAGATAGATTATCATCACAAGGCCTGTAGTGCCATTGATATTAAGCATCTCATGGGTTATATTGTATTTCTTTGTCTAGTATTTATCTGTTCTAACTATACCTATTTAAAACACATTTATTCAGATTTTACAATCCCTTCCTAAAGAAGTCAGGGTCCAGAGCAAGTCATTACATATTGTATGAATATAAATGGTTCTTGTTGACAATGACATTTTATTGTACATGTTTCATTAAGGGCAAGGGAAATATTGCCTAATATTATCACAAAACATAAAAAAAAAAAACTAAATAGAAAGGCTGTTTCATTTAATATTCCTGTTTAAATAATACAAAAAAAATATATTATATGTTCATTTTAAAGTCACAGGGAATGATTGAGAAATCTAAAAGGAAACCTGTACTTAGAGTAATTCTGATGTGCTGATCTCCTTTTGAAAATCCTATGTGCCTGGCGGTCTCTACACTTTAAATACAGACCACTAAAGAAATAACTCCTAATCTGCACCATGACTTAAGCAGGTTATACATGTTTAGAATGTTGTACGAAAGAAGTCGTTTTCGGAACATTCATTTGAATATATATCAATTAGTATGGTGCAATCGACAAATGAAAACGTGTTCCCAAAAATGTTGAAGGAACACTTTGGAAACTTTTTCTTGGTCAAACGAATTTCTTACAGTGAATATGGTTTCCATTTTTAAACTCCATTCATTCCAAAATAGAATGTTAAATCAAAAAGAAAATTAACAAATGTTTGAACCACAATAGCCATGTTTCTGATGCCAGTATTGAACGTTTCCACGGGATTTCTCGTACAAACGTTCGTGCAAAATTCTACCCGTGTATACTCTACTTTATACCAGCTTTTCTCAATCAGAGTGCTGTGACACTGTGTGCCTTCTGGCTTTGTCACGGGTGCTGTAAAATTTTCGCTAATGGGGGGACTTGAATTTGGGGAGGGGGGACCACACGTCATTTTTTTACATTTACATTTTTTAGGTTTATTATTTCACTTCTTGACCCAGAGAGGCAACAGGAAGTTAGAGAAAAGCTCCCAAAGTGAATGTCCCTGGAACAGGTGTCCCCATTGGAAGATTACCCCATACCGCTTGTTTTCGGGAAAGCAAGCACCTGTGTATTGCCTTCCAGTGCTTTGACCCGGCTTGCCTGATGCAGATAGCTCAGAAGAGAGAAGGGAGGGGGAAGAGTAAACACTGCTGACTGAAAGAGTGTTTCACAGGTGCTGATTCTGCAATATCCTGATTACTGGCTACTGACCCTGACTTCGGTTTCTGCCTATCGTCTTGGTACCTCTGCTACCCGGCTGTGTTTGACTTCAGCTTCTTCCCTGATATTGCTCTTTGGTTATCGCATTTGAACCACTGCTGCCCAACTGTGTCTAACCCCCGGCTTGTCTTCTGACCTTGCGGCCTGTCTGATATCTTGGCAAGATGGCCTGCTGACACCTTGCTGCATCTGGACCAGCTTTAGGCACCTGTTCCCTTCCGTGTCCTGCATGCTCTCTTCTGACTCTAGGGGGTGCTGGACAGGAGGTGTAAGGGAAGCCCTCACATCACTCTGCTTCCAGGTACATAAAAGGGGCAAATCTCGCCTGTGGTCACACAGATAGCAATGAAATCTTGATGAACGGTCTAACCTTTCCCCACTCAATTCAAAACTAAAAAAAATGTTCCTGGCTAATAGCAGCCGGTGCATGTGCTACTGGTGTATTGGTGTGGCTACCTCTGAGCCCAAAATGCAGAAGGGAAAGCAAGCTGCAGATAATTTATTTATGAAAAAAATGTATAAAGGAGTAGTACTAAAAAAAAAGCTTTTTTAGTCAATGTTTGTGCAATAATTGCTCATGATTCTCACAACTGTGGCCATGGCAAAGGGTGTATTCTAGTAGTACTTGTGGGTTGCAGCAACACGCAGTAAATCGCACATGTGGTGTCATTCATTGTGAATGACACTGCAATGCACTGTACAGTAGAGTCCAATGCAAACAGACCACACACCACACACCACAGTGCGCTGCATTACTAAAAAAAAGTGTCATGTGTGTTTTTCAATCCATTGGCAGCTTATTCTTTACAAATGCACTGCATGTTAACACACAAAGTATTATTATAGGTATTTATATAGCGCCGACAATTTACACAACACTTTACATAGTCACACATTTACAGTTCCTGCCCTCAAGGAGCTTACAATCTAAGGTCCCTATCTCACATAGGGCCAATTTACCTTTCAGCATATCTTTGGAGTGTGGGAGGAAACTCCTGATCTGGATTTGAACCAGGGTCTCTTAAGTGCTGTAAGGCGGAAGCACTAACCACCACGCCACTGTAAGTAACACATTTTAATAAACTATTTTTAAACCCATTTTAAAATGGGTTGCTTAAGTGTGAGTCAGCTCAAATACTTTACAGATGCACTTAGGTTTACTCTTGTACCTCTTCCTGCAAACAAATTTACCCAATCTTACTTTGGCAAGCAGAAATAAGGTCAGCAAGTTTGCAGTTTATGTGTATGTGGGCCCCAAACAACATAAGTATGTGAGGAAAGAAAGCAGGGATGCGCCGCTGCATCGGCAGAAAAATTGCACTTTCGGCATTTAGCCAAAAGTGCCATTTTCGGCCGATATGTTTTGGCGTCCGATATATCGGTGCATCCCTAATATTTACGGCAATGCAGAACGCCACAGGCTATAGAGAACTACACATCCCAGCAATACTTTATATAACAATGGCATTTCTGTATAAAGTACTGCTGAGATTTGTAGTCCTCTATAGAGGGTGTCATTCTGCATTGCTGCAACAGTACGTTATACAACATGGCGGCCGGCAAGTCCCACCATCTATGCACAGGGACTGTGCTGGGCCCCCCCAGGCTGAGGCCCCGGTGCCGGAGCACCGGCTGCACCGGCGGTAGTTCCATTGAGTATGACTTATGATTCATAACTTTTTAGCCCTTATGTTATATTTTCTACCTCTACCCAAAAGTCTTAGGAAAGACGTGCATTGTTCTGATTTAAAAAAAAGGAATTGTTTGGAGCAGAAAGTTGCCCATCTTCTTTTGTATCCAGCTAATAAAATGGCCGCATGTTTTAAATTCCAGCTTGGGACATTTTGTCCTTTGAAAATAAGAGCACAACCTGTATGTGTTAAATGTTCATTACCAAGCCAACTATTTTTTATTTCAATTTTTCTTTGGACTCAATATTAAGGGAAATGCATGCAGAATAAAACAAGCATTTGAACCTGGCAATTCTCAAATCACAAGCAATGTGTTAGGATCTTCACATTTGATCAGCAGCCAAAATGTTTAAGATGTGTAAAGCCAACCACATCCCTTGGGCTGATTTACATAAAGCTCACCATTATTGCACATTTCACTAAAATTATCTCATTCTTTCTAAAGCAGAACTCTATCATGCTCATACCCCTCAAATCTGTCAGAGCAGTTTCTTGGTTAGGGATAATGTAATATCTGTTCCTGGGAACCGCATATCAATATTGACGTCAAAATAAAGCTTTAATCACCAGTCCTAGCTGTTTAGTCCAAAACAAATATTTGTATTTCTTTTTAGAGCATATTTCTGTTCCATTCTATTCTTTGAACAAATATTTCAAAATGACACACTTCATCTTCTTTTTTCTCTTTGTCCAAGTACACGTTCAAAAATATTGACTGTAGTTGTTCCCAACACTTGTCAAGGTTGCCATCTGTAATATTTTCACGTATTTTCTTAATAGATCATGCCATAGTAATGTTTAATTATGATTACCTTGGACCCAGGAGGTTATCAAAATACCTTTTCCAAAATATTACAAACATGATCAGTGGATTATGGGTGCACTGCTGTGGCAGACTCTTCCTTATGTCCATGTCTGTAATGAGGTACTGACATTCAGTAACATGGATGGGAGGATGTGTCATTTGACTACATGTGCAGTGACATCAGGCAGGGGATTTACAATCTGACAATGCTTCATGTTACACCCTAAATATGGGTGTAACATGAACCATGGTCTGGAAGGTAAACTTAGCCTTTGATTTAAATGTGCCAAGCTCATAAAAAAGACCTTTTTTTTGCAATCCCCTTAAATTAAAGTAGGAGTAAATTCATGATTTATTTTTAGCTATATCTACTGCTAGCAAGCAGTAGATATATGCAAAACCATTTGAAAAAATAAAAAAGTTACCAAATAGGTAATTACTTTCTTCTGTCAGCGCTGCTTGCTCCCGTCTGCGGCATCCAGCTTCCCCGAACTGACGTGCAGGAAAATGTGGGAGGTCGCATGTGCAGTAGGAGTAGAGACTCAATAGAAGTCAATGCACACAGCCGTGAGCGTGCACGCCGGACAGACTCCGTGGGACAGGAAGACACAGCAGCCTGTGCTGGATCAGAGACCGGCACGCTACGCTGGAGGGACTGCTAGAAACTACTGGAAGGAAGAAGATGATCAGCTCAAGAGGCATCACTTATGGTAAGTCCCTACAGCAGTATTGGAGGGGCAAAAAAATAGACTTTGTCACTTTAATAGCGCATATCAACATAAATAAAGATCAATACATCAATAAAATAAAAAAAATGAACCATAATATAACGTAGTACATAGCAAAAGTTATTTTAAAGCAATAATAAGCTGTTTTTGTTGTGTGCATTATCCACCAACATGTGTGCTCCAACTCCAATAAATGTATGTGATCCACACCATCATGTGAAGAAATAGCTCCTGTGTTAGTGCCTGCGTTCCGGTCCAGTGCGATCTGCAAAAATGCTGCATGCACTATTTTTGCAGATCGCACTGGACCAGAACACAGGCACTAATGTGCCACGCGTGCGGGCGATCGCACTGCGGGCGGGGGGCGTGGCTGCGGTGCCATTGACTTCAATGCACCACCACGCCCCCTCCCTGAACGTAGGGAGCC